TCGTTTATTTTCTTGCATTCCATGAACATCTTCACGTCTTCAAGAATCACTATTCGAACTGAACAATTCGTTTGATAGCGCTATTTTGGATTCCATTTGTTTCCAATTTCTAATATTTTTCATGAGTTGTTGTTATATCCATGTTCGTTAGTGGTAAATATCACTTCGAATCTTCGAATTGACAATTGCCAAGAGCCGGAAAGTGCTCAATTCCCGGAGGCTTTTTCTATGAAAAGTAGCATTTTTCCATCATAGTCCGAGAAGTATCACATCGTTGTTGGCACTGTAACTATGAAAATCTTGTTAGATATGGTTTTGACTCGGGTTTTGATAAATGCAGATGATAATTACCATCATGCATAGCGACGAAACGAGCAACGAAATATCGGCTGACAGCTATTTGACATGAAATTAGTTGACATTTTGATTTTTGAAAGTTTGATTGCAATTATCGCAATAAACTATCTAGTGAAAAATACGAGGATAAATATTTATACCTATATTTGATTCGAGTGCCATTCCTACGAGTCTCGCATCAGAACAGTGAATTCGGGTTAATTATAACCGAGATTATGACAGAGGCGGCTGTGAGAGGCGGAGTCGTTAATCTATGGAGTGGCTATGTCTTTATCTCGGTCTTTATTGACCAGTAGTTCATAAAATGACGTAAACTACCTTGGTAGAAAAACATACTTTATTCCGAGCACTTTACGCCTTGAAAAGGAGTAAATGAAGGTAGGTTCCGAGGTAGGCTCCATAGCTAGTGCTGGAAAACAATATTATCGCTTGATATGGAAATGAATTGGGCATGCCTCATTTATGTCTAATAATAGTAGATTTTCCCACGAGTCAATAATGATAGCTTTAATTCTCGAGTAACATTCAGAGATATAACCTCGGAGATAACTAGCCATTATTATTGCGAGTAGTATACTCTACCTCATTCACGTCAAATTCATTCATTTCCGAGAAGCTCGATAAAAAGAGTCTTCTATTTTCATCCATAACTGAATGAAATAGGTATTTACCTAACAAGTGCAAAAAGTGTAACTTTCGGTAGTTCGGGCAAGCCTTCAAAATACATTTTCCGTAAGAGTTAGGTACAAAATCGGTACAACATGTTTTCCGGTTTTTCCTATGTGTGTTTTTGTCCATTTTATTTACGGAAAAAAGGTTTCTAATAAACAAGATTTTATAATAATGCTACAAAACTCGTTTATTATATAATCTGTGGTAGAAGTCCATCGTATCGTATCTCAAAGTTACCATCAGGGACGAGGGGTAAATAACGTGGGAAGTTTAGTGTACAGACACAAGGAAGTTCGAGGAAGTTTGGGGAAGTTCGAGGAAGTTTGGGGAAGTTCGAGGAAGTTCGAGGAAGTTTGGGAAGTTCGAGGAAGTTTGGGGAAGTTCGAGGAAGTTTGGGAAGTTCGAGGAAGTTTGGGGAAGTTCGAGAAAGTTTGGAAATTTTGGGAAGTTTGGGATGTTCGGAGAAGTTTGGGGAATTTCGAGGGGAATTTCGAGGAAGTTTGGGATATTCGAAGTAGTTTGGGAAGTTCGGTAGAGTTTGAAACATTTCGTGATGTTTAGGTAGTTTTGAGAACAGAAAGCAATGATTAGTCGGATATTCATTTCTCGATTTTTTCATTTCAGCAAATAATAGAGATGCTGTTAGATAACTCAATAATACCTACCTACCTGAAAACTCGTGGTACTGAAAAATTGCATTGCATAGGTAATTAGATCGGTAATTAGTTAGAAGGTTGATTTCTGTTGGTGGATTATTCAAAGTTGTAAGTCTAATTTCATTTTGTATTGAATTACAATGCAGATATTCATGACATTCAGTTTCAAATCCTTTCCAGTAAAGTACTTTTAAGTTAAGGTATACTCACCTATACCTGCCTATACATATACGTACAGTCAGATGCAATGAACATGTCGCACTAAGTCGGTGATGGCACCTATCTAGTCACCTCTGCAATAAGAGCGCTAACACCATCCAACCGCAATATTTTCTTTGCATCTAACTGAACCCACCTATACCTACCTACCATAGGGAAAGGAAAAAAAGTTGAATCAATCAATACTAAATTGCTTACCTGGTTTGTGAAGTTTGAGAAGTTTCGGGAAGTTTAGGAAGTTCGAGGAAGTTTGGGAAGTTAGAGGAAGTTTGGGTAGTTCGAGGAAGTTTGGGAAGTTCGAGGAAGTTTGGGAAGTTCGAGGAAGTTTTGGGAAGTTCGAGGAAGTTTGGGGAAGTTCGAGGAAGTTTGGGAAGTGCGAGGAAGTTTTGGGAAGTTCAAGGAAGTTTGGGGAAGTTCGAGGAAGTTTGGGGAAGTTCGAGGAAGTTTGGGAAGTTCGAGGAAGTTTGGGAAGTTCGAGGAAGTTTTGGGAAGTTCGAGGAAGTTTGGGTGATTTGGGGAAGTTTGGGAAGTTCGGCGGAGTCTGACACATTTCGTGATGTTCAGGTAGTTTTGGAGATTCGAGGATGTTTGGGAAGTTTTCGAAAGACCAAGCAAGCTGTAGGATGTCTGTGAACGTTTGGGCGGAGCCGGTCGGGAAAAATCTTTGGCTAGATAATCCAAGAAACTTAATATCTCAGGATATACAGAGCTGTGGTGACAAAAGCCTAGGGGAGATTCCTCTCAACAAATTATGAAATCAAGTTCATATGAAAATGGGTCCGAAAATGCTTCGTTTCCGAGATACAGGGTGTCCAAGTTGAAAGAATTATGGGTTTTCTATTATTGCTAGAGGCTTCTGTCAAGGCTTTTGTCGACACAACTCTGAAACTCCCTGTATAGAAATAATATTCCACATAATTTCAAAGAGTTCATTATTATTTCGGAATATTTCGGATAAGTCAATAGTACCTACCTACCTAAAAATTCGTGGTACAGAAAACCTGCATTGCATATTATGTAATTAGTTCGATAGTTGATTTCTGTCGGTGGATTAATCAAAATTGTAACATTCAGTTTCAAATTCCTTCCGTTAAAGTACTTTCAAGTTTAGGTACCCACCTATACATATACGTAGGTAATACCTACCTATACAATGTGATCTAGTTTGTAATACAAAATATTCAACAGTGTGTTGTACTCGGTTGAAATTATAAGAAAAATCATATAAACATATACTTACAAACGCTTTGTTTTCGAGATAAAGGGGGTTTAAAATACGAGTCTGAATATTGTTTTTGATGAAAAGTTCGAAACGGTTTGAGATAAATCCACAAAATTACCCAATATACTAAACTTCTTAAGCTCTATAAGATAAAATGAAGATTATGTATAATGAATGCAATAAAAGTATTTCATTATTTCAACGAGAACACCACAGCACTGTTGAATTTTTGTATAACAAACCGGACCGCCCTATATATCTACCTACCATAAGAAAAGGAACAAATTTTGAATCTATCAATACTAAATTGGTTTGTGACGTTTGATGAAACGTTTCGGGAAGTTTAGGAAGTTCGAGGTAGTTTGGGAAGTTCGAGAAAGTTTGGGAAGTTCGGGGAAGTTTGAGGAAGTTCGAGGAAGTTTGGGAAGTTCGAGGAAGTTTGGGAAGTTCGAGGAAGTCTGGGAAGTTTGAGGAAGTTCGGGGAAGTTTGAGGAAGTTCGGGGAAGTTTGAGGAAGTTCGGGGAAGTTTGAGGAAGTTCGGGGAAGTTTGAGGAAGTTTGAGGAAGTTTGAGGAAGTTTGAGGAAGTTTGAGGAAGTTTGAGGAAGTTTGAGGAAGTTCGAGGAAGTTTGGGAAGTTTTGATCCATGGGAAGTTTGGTGTACACTTTTTTTCGCCGTGATTTACCCCTCGATCAGGGATCAAAAACACAAAGTCATCTGCACAACTTCAATACTTTCAATAGTGATCGAAATTACTCAATCAGATCATCGTACGTGTTTCGAGCCCTCGTTCGAGCCCATATAGGCTTATCTTCATCATATGAATCGAGCTTTTGGAACAGGAAGTGTTTACGATCCGATTCTGAGCAGAGCTCTTCAAGAAATTGTTATTTACAATATCATTCAACTCGATTACTGGCCCTAGTTGACAGTCTGAAAGTCACGAGTTCGAACCCATCTTTTGTCAGCTTTTTCTATTTATGAATATATTTAGTGGAATATTCCAGGAATTATCATTTATTCATATTCCTGTATTATCCCTAGAATATTCCGAATATTATCTGAATATTCCTAGAATAGTATAGGTACATTCTGAATAAACTCGTGAATAAATGACAAATATTACTTCACAAACGATAAGACTGAACAGTTTAGTATATCCGAAAAGAAATTTCGATGAATATTCATGGAATATTCGTTGCAGGATGAGAATATTCTATGATCATTCTGAAAACATGCCATCATAATATCCTAGCATAAGTATATTCCGAGGTATATTCGAACCGAGTTTCGAACGTTGTCAGAATATTCATAGAGTTTCTGTGCTGTCTGAGAATACAGCTAGCTATACCAACCACAGTATACCGGGTGTCCCAGTATACCTGTTCCAATGAATTATCCCAGATATTTCGAAAAATACAAATTCGAAAATTTCATGATCCCCAATTCGTTTAAGGAAGCTTCAACTGAGAAAAACAAAAATTGAAAGTCACTTCCGGTTTGACCGGAAGTGACTCTAACTTTTTTATTTCAAATAGCACCCTGTTTAATTTTTGCAATTTTTGATTTCTACTCAAAATTACCGTTTCAACGATGTATCACACTTCTCATTTTATATTTGATTTGATGGAGAGAACGACAATTGAAATTTCAAATTGAACGAATTGCGTAGGCTACGATATTTTTGTAATCTTGATTTTGACTTCAATAATAATTTCAAATTATTAGAATTGTAGTAGATCATGTAACTTTCAAATTTTCATCTTTCGAAATGGCTGAGATAATCTATTAGAACAGGTATACTGGGACACCCGGTATTATCCTTTCTCGTGGAAGGATAATATACTGCGTGGTACAACCGAGCATACAACCTACCATCAGAGAGTCCTCGTAGTCGTCCAAGTAGTCTTCGTCATTTTCCAAATCTCCATAAGTCTCGAATAGATTCATCTCCGTGGTGGTTGTGGTTGTAGTAGTCGTGGTTCTGAATGGGGATTTCGCGTTGTTCCAGCCCTTGTGCCTCAATCTATAGACGATTTCTGAATCTACTTCACTCTCACTATTCATTCTATCTAGTCTCGTCATAACCCTATCGAATTTTGAGTATCTAGATTGTTTGTAAATGTTATCGTATGAAGTCACTATTTTTGGATGCATATTTTGTTTCCTCGACATTTCACTTTTTTTCAGATAATCTATCGAGCTGTTGACCGACGAATAAACGCAGAAACACACCACTATCTTAGTCCAACTCACCAACATTTTTTAATGGTTCACTTGCTAATTTTTTGCATTTTTGTTACCTACTTTTCCGATTTTTCAATAGCTGACGACAACATCAGCTGGTCGAAATGAGATTGGAAAAATCGCATGTGTTTGAATGAAGTCGCCTCTGCCGCCAAAACCGCTTCCACCGCCGTTATCGCAGTCGTAGTTGGCGTAGCTCCGCCGTCGCGATTTAGAAACGACTGAATCATGACTGAATGAGAAACTGAATCAAGCAAGTCCCAACCGCAATAAAGCTCTGTGCAGTGTGCTCGTACCCCAAGCTGGTTGGCTTACCAGTTGAGTTGCATTCTCTCACTAATCTCACTATATACCGCATTTTGTTAGGTTGCAATATGATACTAAAGAAGCTAGCAAAACCACCCACGAATTTCAAAGACTCGTCACAATCACAATTTTACGCTCAGTTTAGACTAATTCAACACCCTATTCCCAAATTTTAGCTCCTCTCTTCCTCTCTCATAGAAAAAATTCCCTGATCGCCTTTCTAAAGTTAAATGTACTATCATTTTCTTCATGAATGAAGACGACTATTATTATTATTATATTATTATTATATTATGGTAAAATATGTTCAGAATCACATTGTCTACCACCTCCTTCTAGATATATGTATATGTATGTATGTATGTATGTATGTATGTATATGTATGTATGTATGTATGTATGTATGTATGTATGTATGTATGTATGTATGTATGTATGTATGTATGTATGTATGTATGTATATCGGTGAACGGGTGAACCAAACACCGAAACACCCTATATCCCAGCGAGCACAAACATCCCTGGGATGTTTTGGGATGTTTTGAAAATGTTGGCATGAAGATGTTATTTTGAGACGTAATATGCACTGACCAAAGAGGTCTTTGAAGGATATTGAAGTATTGTTTTTGTTCTTCTGTGGCATTTCTTTGTTTGCCTACTGAGAGGTATCCCTGGTATGTTTTGGGATGTTTTAGAAATGTAGGCATGAGGATGTTTTTTTGAGGCGTAATATGCACTTCCCAAAGAGGTCTTATAGAAGGATATTGGAAGTATTGTTTCAGTTCTTTCGTGCCCTTTCTTTGTTTGCCCCACCACAACGTCTCATGCTTACGTCACAATATGATGAATTCTGATTTGTTTTCGATTTTGTTCTTCTTGTTCGCAATTGGCATTCGCGTTTGCAGCGTGTCACGCTTACATCACGCTGCTAACGAACAGAGAGGAATTTGGTAAAGTTTATTGTGTTAGAAGACTTATTTAGTTCGTAATAATAACCATCAGATGAAAGATGTGTTGTTCAGTGCCTCAGTGTAATCAATATATAAAAGTACGAATTTATCAATACACATAGCTTCTCCGCAGTTGCAAAATTATGCATTGTGGAGAACATTTCAAAAATTGGGAAACCTATTTTCAATTATATGTCTGTGTGTAGTGGGCACTACTCAGAAACCGATTAAGAAGGTAATTTCATATCAAGAAAATATTTTTATGTTCAATCTATAGATAAATGCATTTTTTCATTCAATGGAAATGGAATCCTAATGCAAAAGTTCATTTTGACAAAAGGCTTCAGAAAAGTACCTCGAAAATGGTTTTTTTACAGCGATTTAATGTGCGCAAGACGCGTTGCAAATGTTTTGTTGTGTCCATGAAAAGGCTTTGAAAAGAACTAGGGAGAAGGTAGTTTTGTGACATATCAAGGAAATCTCGATAATTGCCGCCTGCGGCGGATATTGGCTGTTCTATAATAGTTCTATTCATGTGTGAACAGAACATTGCAGTGGAGGTTCAATGTCTCGAAATCTCGTACTTTTAACATCTCTGAGATGTTTTTGTGCTCGCTGGGATATATATATATATATATATTATATAGTAGTATATCTCAGCGAGCACAAAAACATCTCAGAGATGTTAAAAGTACGAGATTTCGAGACATTGAACCTATATCTATATACAACTATGGCAAACTTTCCTACTCTCTGCAATTATATTTGATGCTTTTAAACATCTTGGAATTACTTACTTGCGACATAGGGCTATAAAAATCACTTCATATGATGGCACAAATAGAGTCAAAAAGAATCAAAGCCACAATGTGTAACAAAATCGTGAGTCGTCAGAATAGAACGAAAAGATAGCTATCCGAATGACCTGATAACGAGATATCAGGGCCGTATTAGAAAAAATGAAGCTGATGATGATTTTCGAAAGACGAAACATTGGATCAGAAAATCGATAATGTCGAATTGAGGTTGAGGAACATCAAACATTGCCATGAAGCTGTTTCTTCATTTCTGTCATAACTCCATTAGCAACGCAAGAAACACATTATATTGTTAATCAAAATTCAGTTTCTTTAAAATATAACACTGAAACAAAAAATATAAAAAGTTTGAAAGTCGTTTCATTGGCCCATCAATCGCGCAACTTTACTTAATCTATTCAACCAAATCTGTATCTTTTGTAGTTTCCAAGATATATCTTCCACCCCATATACTGCGATATACACAGCCATAGATTATCGACCACCCTAATCTATGTAACAGCAGGTATACAGCGTGTCCCACTTACCATGCTCACCATAGGTATCTTTTTATCGGTGAGAGATACGAGGTCGGTTAAATGACACCAAATGTGGAGTTTGTCAAGGCCAACTATAAATGTGAAAAAATATTTTGATAAAATCTATTCGTTTTTGTTTTATACGCAAGAAACAGATTTTGATCATTTTCATGTCTCCTCCGTAACTTCTTTATTTATGAAAATATTCAAATAGGAATTTCACATTCCCATGGCAGTTTTTCGAAGTGATTTCGAAAAAAATATGAAATTTATACCAACTCTTCTAGAATTTGAGATATCAGCACCAACTTTAGTTTTTCAAATGTAGGTCATAGCTTACTATGACTTGGTTACAAATAACTTTTTTTCTCTTATAGATGATATGTCGCAGTAATAGTTTTGTGTTGATAACAACGGAGTTATCATCATTTATACAAAAACAAAAAATTAATTTCAAGCCGCCATCCTGAATTTATAAGTTTTAACAAAAAAAACATGATCTCCGACCTCAAAAACCCCCACTTACCAAGTTTGAATGGAATCGGACCAAATCTTGCCCGCCATCTTGGAGCAGCCATTTTTTTTAATTGATGGCGGACAAGATTTGGTCCGATTCCATTCAAAATTGGTATGTGAGGGTTTTTGAGGTCGGAGATCATGTGTTTTTCGTTAAAATTTATAAATTCAAGATGGCGGCTTCCGATTAATTTTTTGTTTTTGTATAAATGACGATAACTCCGTTGTTATCAACACAAAACTATCACTGCGACATATCATCTGTCAGAGAAAAAAAGTTATTTGTAACTAACTCATAGAGAGCTATGACCTACTTTTGAAAAACTGAAGATGGTGCTGATATCTCAAATTCTAGAAGAGTCGGTATAAATTTCATATTTTTTTCGAAATCACTTTGAAAAACTGCCATGAGAATGTGAAATTCTTATTTGAATATTTTCATAAATAACAAAGTTATCGGAGGAGACATGAAAATGATCAAAATCTGTTTTTTGCGTATAAAACAAAAACGAATAGATTTTATCGAAATATTTTTTCACATTATAGTTGGCCTTGACAAACTCCACATTTGGTGTCATTTAACCGACCTCGTATCTCTCACCGTTAAAAAGATACCCATGGTGAGCATGGTAAGTGGGACACACTGTATGTTTGGGTTTCGAAAAAATTATCCAGATATTCATGATAAATTTATTCGATAAAAATCGTCAGTTCACTATACAAAATATATATAAGTACATAAAAACCCTAGGCATAGTATATATTTACAAAACAATAAAGAGCTGAATAAAATAGGGACATATATGTATACAGGGTGTTGCGGCATTCGACCGACAACGCTTGACAGGGCGTTAAAATTAAGGAATAAAAATAGTTGTTTCGCAAATATCTCAAGAAAAATTGAATATAATGCATTCAACTTCAGTACATGGTTTATTATTTGAATGGGTCATTTTTTGACCAGGAAGCCATTCCGGAAATGTTATCCATATTTTCTACGCTATTGATTGAATTTCAATTATTTCCAATTCCTTTTATTCATTTTTCAATTTTGTTCAAGAAATACATCACCTTCAACTGAGCCGAAATGAACAGTTTTCGAGATATTCGACCAAAAATAGAAGATTGCATAGTAATATTTCATCATTTTCAGTAGTAGAAAATAGCAAAAATATTTTTCTGGTGTTGTAGATTTTAGATACTATTCAGATCCCATGCTGTAGCTGAACAAACATAGTGTTTCCACGCATAAAAAGAAAATAAAAATTTTTGTAATTTTCTACTACTGAAGAATATGAAAAATTAATATGCAAACTTCTATTGTTTTGGGTCGAATATCTCGATAACTGTTCATTTTAGCTCAGTTGAAGATGATGCAGTTTTTCAACATAATTGAACAATCAATTCGAGAAATTGGAAATAATCGAAATTTCATCGGTGGAGTAGATAATATGGGAGGAAAAGTTATCACAACCCTTCGTAGCGCACCTCTAGGTAAAATTCTGGGAATATGTCTTTCTGGTAAAAAAATTAATCATTGAAAGATGAAACCATATACCGAATTTGAATACCTTAATTATATTCAATTCTTCTTCAGATATTGCAAAAAACCTATTTTAATTTCTTAACTTCAACGCCCTGTATCTCGGAAACTAAACACTTGAAGACCATATGTTCCTATCTCATCAGTGATTATGAAATCACGGGAGCTATCACCTGTCAAGCGTTCTCGGTCGAATTTCGCAACACCCTGTATAATACCTGATATACTTACGACATTATTAAAGGTTTAGGTATACCTACCTAATGATAAAGAATGTTCCTCATTCGAATTAAAACTAAATTAAATTTATTTTGAACTACATTATTCTCATTGCTGTCTTAGTTCGTTTCTGAGGACTTTCCCGCTGGCATTTCTAGGAATCGATTCGATGAACTTCACGCCACCTACTAATTTTTTGTAATTGGTCACTTTTCCATTGACGAAACGCTGGACTTCACTTTCACTGAGGTCGATTCCTGGTTTGCGAACCACGTAGGCCTTCGGGACTTCCCCAGCAAGAGGATCCGGGATACCGATCACAGCAGCATCCACTATCCCCTCTATTTCCAAAATCAGATTCTCCAATTCAGTTGGAGACACCTGAAACAGAAAAAAAATATGTTGAGATATGGTCTGGTACCTTTGCGGAAATGGACGTACACTCGTCTTCAGAGAACATGTCCTACATAGAGGGTGTAAATCACCGCGCCCATACGTCCATATACGTTTTTTTTTCTGCAACCGACACAAAAGTCGTCCATTTTGATACCAAAATTAGCTCTTAAATTGACGTTTCTATTACTGACACAAAAATAGGTATGTTGCTAGGGAACATATTTAGTTCCTAGGAGCTAAAGTTGAATTTTAGTTCCTAGGAGCTAAAGTTGAAATTTAGCTCCTAGGAACTAAAAAGTATGTACTGGACATCATCAAGAATAAACAATCATTGGTCTATAAATTCGATGGTACGTAGACATGCTTGAATGTAAAAGTTATCGGAATCAATAAGTATCTGAAACTTATCGCATTACTCAAGAAACAATCTATTGGATATAAAGCGAGACAACTCCAAAACATTCACCGCTGGAGATATATGATATACCGGGTGGCTACGGAAGTATTGCCTACGGAATATCTCAGTTATAGTATGACGTAGGTTTGTGAAATTTGGAGCGTTGATATAATGACATAAGAGCTAGAATTTGAGCTTATTGACATGTCAAAGTTAACTTCCGGTCTGACCGGAAGTAACATCAACTTTCTTATTTTAAATGGAGTCCCTATTTTTTTTTCTTTTCGCTTTATTCAGCATTCAATTCCCTTTCTAATGACATATCACGAGTTGGTATCTAACCAGAAACTAGATCAGAAAAAAATTATTATTGAAATTCACCGAGTAGGCCGTGGAAGCAAAATGAAAGCCAAAAAATGACTTTCTATCATATCATTAGAAAGGAATGGTTATGCTGAATAGTACAGGCAAGAAAAAGTTGTATGTTCCTATTTAAGTCATGGACCTACAGAGTATTGTTTTTTTCCCAATTTTTCCAATATTTTTTTTGGCGGCTTTTTATAACGCCGATGAATGAAAATAAAATATCACAGTAGTAGCAACTGTTTTCGAGTGACGTATGGTTTCCATAGCCATCTTTTCAATTTTTGGATTTCATTTTGCTTCCACGGCCTACCCGGTGAATTTCAATAATATTTTTTTTCTGTTCTAGTTTCTGGTTAGATACCAACTTGTGATATGTCATTAGAAAGGGAATTGAGTGCTGAATAAAGCGAGAAGAAAAAAACATAGGGTTTCCATTTCAAATAAGAAAGTTGATGTTACTTCCGGTCAGACCGGAAGTTAACTTCGACATGTCAATATGCTCAAATTCTAGCTTTTATGTCATTATATCGACGCTTCAAATTTCACAAACCTACTTCATACAATAACTGAGATATTCCGTAGGCAATACTTCCGTAGCCACCCGGTATATACCAACAAATTTCTACAAGAAACTCCCGATGAAGAATATCTGTTGAAAACGGTGAATTATACTTCATATTTAAACTCTTTATTTTATTGCATCAATGAGAAATGTTCAATTTGATTGCAGAGTTTATTGTACTATGGCTCAGAGGTCTAAAGCTCAGGTTGCCACGCTGGTGGTCCATGCAGTTTCAATTCTCGGTAGGCCCGACATTTTTTTTCTGCTTCGTCAGTTATTATAATGTTTCTTTTTTTGTTGCCTTTGGACATATGGGATAATATGGATAAAAACTTTTTCAACTATTTCAATCGCTCATACTTTCAGGGTAGTTATTTCCAAAAGCTGCGTTAGTAGAAAGAATCTTGTGTGTATTTCGAGCACAAAGTGTTATTGGTGCCGCTCTCCAAAGATTACATTCTTTGTCGAGCGGCAATCTATCACTTTGCGCTCTAAATACACAAATAGCTATTCTGATTACGAGTGTAAGTAAGCGAGTATTATTGTCGAAAGTGCTTCAAAAATTTTAATTCCTCCTTCGGAATCGGACTCATTCGCCGAAATATGAAAATGAACGAATGTATATGTAGTTTTTTCTCGGATAGAAAATTATCGGATGAATATTATCACTTATAATATCATGAGAGCTTTTCAATCATTTCCGGAATTTTTTTCGAGAACAGTCTTCGACTCAGGAGAATTTCCTAAATAATCGTGTTCGAGAAAAAATTTCCGGATATTATTTGAAGCTAAAGTGGTATTCGGTAAGAAAATTTCACACCAAACATTTTGAATTTCAACAACACTTAGATGATTTCGTTGTAAATGATGGTTGTTTGTGATGAAATGTAAGAACTAACAAAATAAGAGACAAAATAAAGTACGCCTCTTTAAAACAATTTAAATAATGAATTAACTCCGCCTAATTAAGCCTACCGCATGAAAATTTGAACAGAGGTGACGTCAGATTTGTAGAATTTTGGGTGGAGAAAGGGGTCTAACCTCAAATTTTATTTCGATTCCTGAATTTTTTTATTAGTGCCATTCGATAGTACACGTCAAGCTTTCTCAGTGTGTGAAATATTTGCACTCATTTCGATGACACCCTGTATATTAGAATTTCGCGATAGAAAAGAATCGTACGCCACCAACCGGAGTTTTTGGAAGCTCTCAAAGCGGTCTGTTTACTTTGGTTCACATTTGTTTTTGTTTTAAACCGAGAAGTGTTCAAGTTGTTGCCGTTAGGTGGGGCGACCTGATATTTTGTACCAAGGTTGGTAGAACTGATGATTATTTCGACGGAGAAGGTGCATCAATCAGCAAAACGCGGTGAAGAAAACTGGTAATTCGTGATGTAATCCCATTGAAAATTCCATTTCGGAGGAATACCAACCTTGATTGCTCCGAAAATTCATCTGTACCGAAAGTCATGGTTGTTTGAATTCTTGCCTATCACCGTGCCAGACCGAAACTTGCGTCTGTGGCACAGAACTACAGATACCAGAATGTGGTATTTGATGTTAGGAGACAAGGGAGACACTGTCACATTGCTGTCACTACTGTCCAGTGTCGATGTCGATTGTCATTGTCTATTGTCATCCGTCATCTCGATTGATTTGTTTGTAGTGGTTTGTAGGTTTGTACAAAATTTTGGGCATTGTAAAAATTGTAAACAAAGAAAAATGGAAAATCCAGAGGAAATATTGCACAGTTTAGAAGAATTTTCGAAAATGAAACCCAAGGACATCCCTAGAGAACTAGAAGAGTATTTGTGTTTCGTAGCTAAGACTGGTAACCCAATTTATCAATGGTCTGTAATTAAATGCCTAATCAGAGAAAAACTTCTCAATGTAATAACCGCATTTAATGAGAAGTGCCGCAGGTTCGAGATACCGCCTTGCCCTAATGTGGAATTATTCAACTATGATATGATGAAGAACTTCATACTAGAAAAACTGGACACATTCGCATCAGCCCCATTCACAATTCAGAGGATTTGTGAATTGCTAACCACGCCTCACAAAGAATATGCTATGATAGACAAATACATGCGAGCTCTTGAAAAAAATATTCTAGTTGTAAGCACCACTGAACCTGGACGACGATCCACAGAAAATGGGGATGGAATCATGAATGGTGTTGAATCTGTACATTCAGAACATTCGGAGCATGTACCAGAGAGCAGTTCAAGCCATGACATCAATATTGAAGATATGGACGAGGCTCCAAGTTGGCCTAAAACTGAGCAAGAAGTGGCACCCTCATTGTTTGAAAGTAATAAGAATGATAACCTAGTGAAATCTGAGGAGTCTTCAGAAAGTGAGCTTGAACCAAAACAAGGTAAAAAACTTTTGCATCTATTTATGTACATATTTGAGCAATTTGTTGTCTGTTTACAGAAATTCCATCCAGTAGTACTGCTGAAGAGCCCCTAATTGAAACCCAAGAGACTGTTATAACCTGTAGTAGTTCTGAGGAGCTGGTGCAGCCTTTTATTGCTGTTGAGACAGTGTCAATAGAAACTTGTGTAGCATTGCACCAAGAAATTGTGGAGGAAATTCTGCCTGAAGTTGCAGTAACCATTACAGCCATACCTGCCAATGTTCACCAGAGAAGATCAAGCATAGAGAGGATAGATGAAGATAAACCAGAAATATTGGAACAAATTGTAGAAGAACAAAGTGTGGTGAGTACATTTTTTCCTTTTTAACTTGATAGGATATCATGGGGAAATGTTCTTCAAATTCCATAAAATTTTTGGGTAATTTTGCACTTATCATGTGATGGTTTTTTTTTTCAATTTTTTTTTTTGTTCTTATGTATTATTGTCTGAAAAACACGAATTTGATAATGAAAATGTGAACAAACCACTATTTATAGTGATATTTCATGAAAAAGTTCGAAATTTTGCCTTACTTTCCCCTAAGTGTTGGATGCATTTACAGGTACTTGCTCTTTTTATTTTGTCATTGGACACTTCCATGACACATTTTAAGCTAGAAAATTCAACAGGAAATATGATTTTTATGGCGAGTTTTTCCTATTTAGTGAGCAAGCATAATCGATGGGTAATCCAAATAGGAGATGTCAAATGTCAATAGATTGCTTTGGAATGACATCACACATGCCATTATTTCAAATGATATTCTTCCTTCATTTCACTACATGGATAAATCACAAGAAAATCATATTTCTAGTTGACTCATATATTAAAAAAAATTGTGTGATATATATAAATTATCCAATGATGGAAAAAGAAGGGCAAATTGTTCTAAATGCGCCCCAAAGACAGGCGGAAAAGAAGGTGAAATTTGTAACTTTATAGTGAAATATCTTAATAAATAATGGTTTGTTCACATTTTCATTATCAAATTCGTGTCTTTCAGACAAAAATACGTAAGTACCAAAAAAATTTTTCGAAAAAAAACCCATCCCATGAATAGTGCAAAATTACCCAACATTGTGTGATATATAATATATAAATTGTCCAATGATGGAAAAAGAAGGGCAAATTGTTCTAAATGCCATCCAAAGAAAAGTAGGTGAAATTTGTAACTTTATAATGAAATATCTGGATAAATAATGGTTTGTTCACATTTTGCTTATCAAATTCGTGTTTTTCAGACAAAAATACATAAGAATCAAAAAAAAATTTCGGAAAAAACCCATGGCATGATAAGTGCAAAATTACCAATTTTTGTTTTGTATCAATAATCTGAGCAAAAATCCAAAATTCCTTTTAGTTGAACACTGTTTTTAGAGAGTAATAATGTTAGAGACAAAAAACAATCCCAAAGTAGATCAACTTCTTGAATTATTAGATGTTGAATTCCCAGCTGGAGCAGCATTTAAGGCTAGTTGAATTTTCAGCCTGAGGAACCAAAACTTGTAGAAAAAACCCAAGAGGAGGTTATCAAAGAGGAAATAGTTGTATCCTTAACCTGCCCTGAAACTACTATTGAAACCTCACAATCTGTTACTGAAGATCCTCTAGAACAGTCAAATTTGGTAACAGAAGAAATCAACATTGAAATCACACCCTTGAAAGACAGTGAATCTCTGGAGGAAGCTCCTGAAGCTCCTGCAGTGTCTTCCTGTTCAGATGAGGTGGAAATAGACATGTCAGAGGTCATTGAAACAACAGAACCCATCGAAAGTGAGGAAAACGAAGCCAAGGAAGCTACAGATGGAAAAACAATAGTGGACATTCAGGTCCTACAAGAAGTACTAGTACCTGAAGAGGAACCCACAAGTTCAGTGGTTTCTGAAAATACTGAAGCAGACAATGTGGTGGACAGCTCTACAGATCAGAAAGAGGAAGACAACTCTGTGAAGATAGAAGAAACAACAATGAAAGACCCAGAAAAGCAGGTGGTTAGCGAGATACCTGTACCAGAAGTTAAAGTTACTGAACCAGAAGACACCCCCATGGATGTTGATGTGGTGAGTGAGAACAAGGAGAAATTGACAGAATGTGAGGAGCCTTCATCTTCCATGGAACCCTTCTTATAATATAGGTAGCATAATTGATGAGATTTTTTTTCAAAATGGAGAACTTGACATGTAGGAGATTTTTTTTCCATAAGTATAGGAATTCCTGTTAGGTTATAAGAGGTTTTTGCATTACCGAGTTTTTTAAACTAGTTTTTAATGATATTTATGTAATAAGATTCCAATTTCAATAGAGATGCATAATGAATTTTTTCAAGTGTTTTTTTTGTGGATACTACCATTTATACATATTTGTAAGAAGCAATGGCAATACAAAGTTTGATGTAGATTAAGGCGAATTTTTAACCACTGAGACAACTATGGCATACTAAATACATAACTACAAAATATTGTTACTTCCGCCATTATGAAATAATTTTAGGAAACTGGAAAAATATTCAGGATGATGACAGGTGCAATTTATATAAACTATAATCATCTATGATCTTTTTCTTTGGAGATTATCCATATGAATCATTGATGCATGGTGATTAAATTCAACTGTTTGTCTTAATGAACAAGTTAGATTTGATTGCCTATCCACTTTCAATTCCATTTTGTAATCTTCCTCTTCATTTATTATTGGTTGCATTGGCAATCCCTTTGTTTAACGTTGTTATTCCTAATTCAAAAAACACAATTTTAAATACCCGACTTAGTCAATCTAGACACATTTCCTTGTTTGTTATGAATTTTGATGTTTTGTGTTTTTGATAGATGACATTTGTCACTTGTTTGTGGAATAATAATTTTTTATCTTTCAAAACAAGTAGTCTGTCGGTTTGTTCACTTCATAACCGCGCCATTTGCTGTACACAATGTTTATCTGATCCAAAAGAAGCATCTTAGGAAAAATGTTTATTTGGGGGTTCAAAAAACCAAAATTCAAAAATGTTGCTTAAAATTATTTTGGGCTTAAAACCCTTAAGAACTATATGTTCTCAATTTTATAGTTTCTTTTCTCCTCCTACCTAGCAAGGTATGTCACCCATTTTCCAATAGTGATGGAACTTCTTTCATTTATAAATGTTGTATTTTAGCCTGATGATGACTCCTAGGAGTCGAAACATGTAGCATATATATGATTTGATTATAATTTACTTGGAGCGAGACTTTGAGTTTGTTCTCTTAATTATCTGACTTGTATGTTAACTTCAAATATAGTTTGAGAAGAATATCAATATGGAAGATATTGAAAAGGAATATTCTCAGATATAGGTATTATGAAAATGAAAAAAAAATTGATACATAACTATAAAGAAATACATTGAGAATTCCCATTCTCTATCTGATGAATAAATTAATAATTCTTTCCCAGTATATTCAACAGGAAACAACTATTTTTCTGGCTATATGCCATGAGGAACATTGAATTACATCTATTGAACACATAATGCGGATTTAAAAATAAAATATTCTGATGTTTTTTTTTGCTAAAACTTGTTATCCCCCCTTATGTCCGAAGTCGTTGTGAACGAATCTAACTGAATTGTCAAAATATACATTCACAACCCCTACTCTTCACCCCAAAGGGATATGACTTTTCTCTCTCTAGCAATCAGACAGGATAGGTACCAATTTGAATGTCTTCATAGGGATGAAACTGTTCCACTGTATGAGGTGGTATATCACATTTTGTTGCCACCCCTTGCCATGTCTTTCATTCCAACATGGCGCCCAACCATCTTCAGAAATAATTACCTATATATTAAAAGTTACAAAGGGCCTCTCGGTATAATGATACCCGCTGACCTAAGTAGCTTCAAGTTGCTATTAAATTCCTTAAACTGTGCTATTAATTATTGTTATAGTGTTATTTTTTCTTCAACAGGCTTCAAATGAAATATTCTGAAAATAAAGATGAATAGGTATCGACATTCCAGGAAAAGAAGATTGACATTATACAGGGTGTTTCATGAGAAGAATCACTTAGACAAATGGTTAATAGGGGAAATCAAGACGAGTTGATATATATATATATATGAAAACATTTTTTGACCCTCCATAACGGAGATACAGGGTATTATGTGATATTGCTATATAACTTTGATGGTCTATATTACAGAAATGATTCATCGTAATCTGATTAAATTCGGCAGCGACGTATCTCTACTGAAACTATTCAAGATAACATATTATGAAGAGAAATATCCAGGTCCGGACTTGGGAGAATTTTATGTTTCATTGTTATGTCAAAAAAGTTCACTTTGTGTCCACTTTTCTCGAAAAATTTCATCAGATTCCGAAAGATCAGACAAAATGCAATAAGATTTGCTCTTCAATTTACACGGCACACTTTGACCGATTCAATAAAAAAATATGGAACAAAATCGTTCGAATGAATTTTGAATTTCGACCTGGCTGATAACTGTCAGCTTTCAACTGGTATCATGTGAATCGATTTTTTCTACATTTTTGTTGAATATTAATTGACAGAAAGGAAGACGAGAAGAAAAAACACGATTTTTTTATCGAAATTCCAGATAGATATTATTATTCCTGACTTTGTTTTATGGGTATCGCTTGAAGTAATGCTGAGATATCTATAGTAGGCCCTGTTTTTCATTTATGTTACAAGACTTGACGTTTGTTGATAATCCGAACGACGGATAGGCAGGTACTAGGCTAATACTAGAGGTAGGTACCAACTGATGAAATTACGGAATGAGGATTCATGTACCCATTTTATGGTGATTTATCAAATTAGTTATGCCATCATGCATTAACTAAGCTCAATTTTCTGTTATTGATACACTTCTGCGAGTGATATAAGGATGCATGTACTATTTATTCAAAGTTCCTAATGTGCATCCTCGTGGAGGTTTTACTGCAACGTATTGTTGGGTCTGGAAACATTCTATGGTCTTAAACATATCATAGCATTTGGATTTTTGTCTTGTTCAGCATTTGGAATATGAAGTGGCACCTAGAGTGCAAGAATATCTCGATCACCAGTGTTTACCTATCAACAAACGCCACCTTACAGAAAATAGAAACAGTGCCTACTTAATAACAAATTTATGAAATAGAGTCACGAGTAATCATTTCTATCTGGAAGTTCGGTCAAAAACTAACATGTCAAATCATAAAAAATCAGAACTACTCTCTTCTGTCAATTTCTATCCAAAGAAAATGTACAAAAAAATCAATTTACACGAATCCAGTTGAAAGTTGGGAGTTATCAGCCAGGTCGAAATTGAAAATTCATTCGAACGTTTTTGTTCCATATTTTTTCATTGAATTGGTCAAAGTGTGCCGTGCAAATTGAAGTGCAGTTCCTATGAAATGTTGTCTGATCTTTCTGAATCTGTTGAAATTTTTCGAGAAAAGTAATCACAAAGTGAACTTTCATATGACGTAACAATGAAACATAAAATTTTCCCAAGTCCGGACCTGGATTTTTTTTTTCATAATATGAATAGTTTCAGTAGAGATACGTAGCTGCCAAATTTCAGCAGATCACGATGAATCCTTTCTGTAATATAGGCTATCAAAGTTATATAGCAATTTCACATAATACCTTGTATCTTCGTTATGGAGGGTAAAAAAATGTTTTCATATCTATACATCAACTCGTCTTGATTTCCCCTATTAACCATTTGGCTATGTGAGTCTTCTCATGAAACACCCTGTATATAGAAAACAATATTACTTAAACCACTTACCTTTGTATGCAATGAGTCTGAAGCAGCTTCAATAATGATGTTATGTGGAGGAGAAAATTGTTGAAGTGAAAATTTCACGTTTTATCTCCATTATAAAACCAATTCATCAAAAATCATTTTGCAGCATATTATGATTGTTGTTATTTTTCTGTTCTAAAATTGTTCTATCCAACATTCGGTTGCCCCCTCAAGAGCAACCTTCAGAAAGTTTTCAAGAGACTTGTGCGAGCAAGGAATGAAGGGGGCCTTACCTTTCAACGTGTGATCCCAAATACTTTCTTGGGCCATCAGAAAAATTTCTGCGGTCATTAGGATTTAAAGCCACGTGAAAAGAATACTAACGATTTTAACATGGCCCCTCTGATGGATTCCAAAATAACACCACCTATCCCAATTAGCTACAGTGTATCTTAAAGACTTATATAGTATGTCTGTATGTAAGGACTTTTATAAAGAGGTGATTTCCACATCATTTAGACGTCTTTGAAATGGATATCTGTAAGAATTTTAATCTTCAAAAATATCTAGCTCAAAATACTATAATAATATAATAATATAGTATCAACAGTTGGTGTATCTCAGTGGCGTGTCGTGAATTTCGTATCTGGGGAAGCTGGGAGCAAAATATAACAAAAAATGTACCGCAGGCAATTTTTTAATTTCACGAGGTCAAGTCGGTTAGTCGCTGTAAGTTGAAAATATGAACTCAGATATATCTGTCTCTACAGTATGAATCTAGTAGGCACAATTCGTTCAATTTCGAATAATAACTTGATAGGATAACATATTAATTCTTCCATAGTTGATGCAGAAAATCCTTTTGAATGATGTAACAAAAATGAAAAATAGGTATTTATGCAAAAAGTGTACAATCATGCTCTACAAATATGTTTTTGCACATGGTCTTTTTTTATCGCTTGGAGCGCACGAAAGGAAATCCCTATGATGTTCAAAGATCATCGTGCGTTCCTAGGAAGGATAGGGACAGGAGGTAGGTATTGGAATTTGTTCTTGAACTTCTGGAGATTATATGTTGTAGGGAATACTTCCTCAGGCAATGAATTCCAGAGCCTAGCCGTTCTATGGATGAAAGAGTTTTGATAAAGTGCTTTTAAATAATTGCTTTTATAGGTAGAGTTGGATCGGTTCTCGCTGCTGACGGTCATGATCGTCCCTTTCATTCTTTTATTGTGATATCCCAACTGAGTTGAAAAATTCAGCACAGATACGATCAATTTACATAATCACTGCATTATAAGAATGATCTAGCTAGACGATGATTCTGATTTTTGGGCAAAGGAATAAGCTGTGCTTCCCTAGCTTCCATAGACAAACACGCCACTGGTGTACCTATAATGTGCTATAATCATTGATAAATTATAGAGAATTTCTTTCTAGTATTTATTTGCTTCCTGTATTCAATCCTGCGAAATAGTGGTCTCAGAAATCTGAAACATTACTGATTATGTTGAAAACTTTGAAATGAAAAGAGAAGCGTACTGGCGCATGTGTAGTAAAATTTCATATGTTTGAGATCTGGAATGAACGTCTCAAGGATGTATACAGGTTTTTGTATGTTCTGGTTTCCATGAAAAGGGATATCTTGAAATGTTCAGAGAACATCGTGAGAACCAAGGGAAATAACGTAGGAATTGGTGTTCTTCTTAAATTCCTGGAGGTGAGTCATTGAATTGGGAAAATGAGATAACGGCTTCGCTGTTTGAGGTAGATGAGCAAAAATTGATGTGATATTCTAGGCTCATGAGCAGCACAGTTCCAAAATATTTTCCGTTATCGCTTGACGTATCAAAGTTATACTTTTTCTTATGGGACACCCTGTATTTCATTGCATTTTCGGATTCTCCTTTGTTAGCTGATTTCATCAAAGCTTCACACTTGTAGCCTAGCCAGAATGATTACAGAGATATAGGGTGTTCAAAATTTTTGTGGGTCGAAACTTCATTATTGGTCAAAACGGCTCACATGTCTCTATCTCAACTTTTGATTTACTATCTACTGATATTCAATTTGAGCGAATACAGGGTGGTTCATAATTCTGAATTTTGAAGTATATCTATACTATATCTCTGTAATCATTCCCACTAGTCCCGAGTGTGATGTATTGATGGAATCAGCTCACAAAGGAGAATCCAAAAATGCAATAAAATACCGGGTGTCCTATAATAAAAAGTATAACTTTGAAACGTCACGCATATTTGAGTCATCCTGTATACGCAAAGTAATTTAGAAATATGCTGCTCATGAGCCTAGACCATCACAAATATTATTATTCATCTATCTCAAACAACGAAGCCGTTATCTCACTTTCCCATTTCAATGACTCACCCTGTGTGTTGAAGACACACGAATTTTGGTCTTATGATGTCATTAAAACATCCAAAGGCATAGATCGAACCAAAGACATAGACAATTTTCGATACTATATCACTCGAAAATACTTACTTGATTTCCTTTCACCTTAATGAGTTCTTTGCACCTGTCTACAATATAAAAATATGAATCTTCATCATATAATGCCACATCCCCAGTGTGTAACCATCCTTCTTCATCAATTGTTTCTGCAGTTGCTTGTTCGTTGTTCAAATAGCCCATCATAATCTAAAATGATGTCATTATGTATTGTGATCGAGATACTTTTTGGGACTTTTAAATCTGGTACCTGTGGCCCCCTGACTAATAATTCTCCTGGTTCGTTGGGTCCTAGAACTTCTCCTGATGAGAGACTCATGATTTTGGCTTCGGTGCCTGGGAATGGGACACCAACTGTTCCTACTTTGGTTGGAGGAGTAGACAATGGCATACAGAGGGAAACTGGTGAACTTTCTGTCATACCGTAACCTGAAATAGGGAGATTTTCTTTCACAATTTTGAGATAAAAAGGAAACAAAATGAGCTACCAGCTCAAATTATTATTAGGTTTTCGTGATTTTAAAAAAATATAAAAACAAACCGATTGATAAAACCACGCGTTTGTAGGACGATAAAATAGAGATTTCAATGAACAAAATACTCACCAACTTTATTGAAGAATCAGATATTTTGACGCGAGAATTTTCGATTGAAAAAATCAGGGTGAATTTTCGATATTTAGTGATAAAAAAACCACAATAACTTGATAATTTGAATTTTAAACATGAATTTTGTGAAAAAAGTGTGAATACAAGGGTCATATATATATTTTTATTGCCTACAACTTTGCCCTCTAACTTTTTTCCATAGGGCTTGTTTTTTTTTCCAGAAACCGAGATTACCGGTTTGCAGCCTTAAAAGCTCTGATCGACCGTAATTTATATTTTCTTTCATTCTTGTTATACGACGCTACACATAGTGGAGTATACTACGGCCTTGCCAAAAATGCTATCTCGGAAACTAAGCGAGAGAGAGGTATAGTTACTTTGGAGAAAATGATCCCCATCGAATTTTGAGCAACTTTGGTTTTTGTGTGTGGTCTGTCTGTCTGTCTGTACTCTGTGGTAATCATAAATCGATATATCTCTGGAACCCTTTGACATATCGACTTGAACTTTTGCCATCTTATTGTACTCAAAACAATATTATGTCATTAAAATATGAAGGAAATCGGAAAAGGTGGTTTTTCAGGAATTTTTGCAAATTTTGCAATTTTCTGGAATTTTTGCGAATTTTGCAATTCTCAGGAATTTTCGCAAATTTTGCAATTATCAGGAATTTTTGCGATTTTTGCAATTTTCAGAAATTTTTGCAAATTTTGCATTTTTTGCTATTTCTGCAATTTTCAGGCATTTTTGCGATTTTTTCAATTTTCAGGAATTTTTGCAATTTTCATGCAATTTTGCGATTTTTTCAATTTTCAGGAATTTATGCAATTTTCAGGCATTTGCGATCATGAATCGATATATCTCCGGAACCCTTTGACATATCGACTTGAAATTTTGCCATCTTATTGTACTCAAAACAATATTGTCATTAAAATATGAAGGAAATCGGAAAAGGTGGTTTTTCAGGAATTTTTGCAAATTTTGCAATTTTCTGGAATTTTTGCGAATTTTGCAATTCTCAGGAAATTTCGCAACTTTTACAATCTTCAAGAATTTTTGCGATTCTTGCAATTTTCAGTAATTTTTGCAAATTTTGCAATTTTCAGGAATTATTGCGATTTTTGCAATTTTCAGGAATTTTTGCAATTTTTGCTATTTCTGCAATTTTCAGGAATTTTTGTAATTTTTGCTATTTCTGCAATTTTCAGGAATTTTTGCGATTTTTGCAATTTCCAGGAATTTTTGCAAATTTTGCAATTTTCTGGAATTTTTGCGAATTTTGCGATTTTCAGGAATTTTTGCAATTTTTGCTATTTCTGCAATTTTCAGGCATTATTGCGATTTTTTCAATTTTCAGGAATTTTTGCAATTTTTGCAATTCTCAGGAATTTTTGCAAATTTTGCAATTTTCAGGGATTTTTGCGATTTTTGCAATTTTCAGGAATTTTTGCAAATTTCAGGAAGTTTTGCAATTTTTGCTATTCCTGCAATTTTCAGGAATTCCTGCGATTTTTGCAATTTTCGGGAATTTTCAGGAATTTTTGCAATTTTCAGGAATTTTCGCAATTTTTGCTATTTCTGCAATTTTCATGCATTTTTGCGATTTTTTCAATTCTCAGGGATTTGCAATTTTCAGGCATTTTTGCAATTTTCAGGAATTTTTGCAAATTTTGCAATTTTCAGGAATTTTTGCAATTTTCAGGAATTTTTGCGATTTTTGCAATTTTCAGGATTTTTTGCAAACTGCTATTTCTGCAATTTTCAGGTATTTTTGCGATTTTTTCAATTTCCAGGAATTTTTGCAACTTTCAGGCATTTTTGCGATTTTTGCAATTTTCAAGCATTTTTGCAATTTTTGCAATCTTCAGGCATTACTGCGATTTTTGCAATTTTCGAGAATTTTCAGGAATTTTTGCAATTTTCAGGAATATTTGCGATTTTTGCAATTTTCAGGAATTTTTGCAATTTTCAGGATTTTTTGCAATTTTTGCTATTTCTGCAATTTTCAGGCATTTTTGCGATTTTTTCAATTCTCAGGATTTTTTGCAATTTTCAGGAATTTTTGAAAATTTTGCAATTTTCAGGAATTTTTGCTATTTCTGCAATTTTCAGGAATTTTTGCGATTTTTGCAATTTTCAGGAATTTTTGCAAATTTTGCAATTTTCAGGAATTTTGGCGATTTTTGCAATTTTCAGGAATTTTTGCAATTTTTGCTATTTCTGCAATTTTCAGGAATTTTTGCGCTTTTTGCACTTTTCAGGAATTTTTGCAAATTTAGCAATTTTCAGGAATTTTTGCGAATTTTGCAATTTTCAGGAATTTTTACAATTTTTGCTATTTCTGCAATTTTCAGGAATTTTTGCGATCTTTGCAATTTTCAGGAATTTTATGCAATTTTCAGGAATTTTTTGCAATTTTCAGGAATTTTGCGATTTTTGCAAGTCTCAGGAATTTTTGCGATTTTTGCAATTTTCAGGAATTTTTGCAATTTTCAAGCATTTTTTGCAATTTTTGCAATCTTCAGGCATTACTGCGATTTTTGCAATTTTCGAGAATTTTCAGGAATTTTTGCGATTTTTGCAATTTTCAGGAATTTTCGCAATTTTCAGGATTTTTTGCAATTTTTGCTATTTCTGCAATTTTCAGGCATTTTTGCGATTTTTTTCAATTTTCAGGAATTTTAGCATTTTTCAAGAATTTTTGAAAATTTTGCAATTTTCAGGAATTTTTGCTATTACTGCAATTTTCAGGAATTTTTGCAATTTTCAGGAATATTTTGCAATTTTCAGGAATTTTTGCAATTTTTGCTATTTCTGCAATTTTCAGGAATTTTTGCGATTTTTGCAATTTTCAGGAATGTTTGCAAATTTAGCAATTTTCAGGAATTTTTGCGAATTTTGCAATTTTCAGGAATTTTTGCTATTTCTGCAATTTTCAGGAATTTTTGCGATTTTTGCAATTTTCAGGAATTTTCGCAATTTTCAGGAAGTTTTGCAATTTTTGCTATTCCTGCAATTTTCAGGAATTTTTGCAATTCTTGCAATTTCCAGGAGATTTTGCAAATTTTGCAATTTTCAGGAATTTTTGCGATTTTTGCAATTTTCAGGCATTTTTGCGATTTTTTCAATTTTCAGGAATTTTTGCATTTTTCAGGAATTTTTGCTATTTCTGCAATTTTCAGGAATTTTTGCGATTTTTGCAATTTTCAGGAATTTTTGCAAATTTTGCAATTTTCAGGAATTTTTTGCAATTTTCAGGAATTTTTGCAATTTTTGCTATTTCTGCAATTTTCAGGAATTTTTGCAATTTTTGCTATTTCTGCAATTTTCAGGATTTTTTGCGATTTTTACAATTTTCAGGAATTTTTGCAAATTTAGCAATTTTCAGGAATTTTTGCGAATTTTGCAATTTTCAGGAATTTTTGCAATTTTCTGCTATTTCTGCAATTTTCAGGAATTTTTGCGATTTTTGCAATTTTCAGGAATTTTTGCTAATTCTGCAATTTTCAGGTATTTTTGCAATTTTTGCTATTTCTGCAATTTTCAGGAATTTTTGCAAATTTAGCAATTTTCAGGAATTTTTGCGAATTTTGCAATTTCCAGTCATTTTTGCGATTTTTGCAAGTATCAGGAATTTTTGCGATTCTTGCAATTTTTAGGAATTTTTGCAATTTTCAAGAGTTTTTGCGATTTTTGCAATTTTCAGGATTTTTTGCAAATTTTGCAATTTTCAGGAGTTTTTGCGATTTCTGCAATTTTCAGGAAGTTTTGCAATTTTTGCTATTCCTGCAATTTTCGGGAATTTTTGCGATTTTTGCAATTTTCAGGATTTTTTGCAAATTTTGCAATTTCCAGGAATTTTTGCGATTTTTGCAATTTTCAGGCATTTTTGCGATTTTTTCAATATTCAGGAATTTTTGCAATTTTCAGGAAGTTTTGCAATTTTTGCTATTTCTGCAATTTTCAGGAATTTTTGCAATTTTTGCAATTTCCAGGAATTTTTGCAAATTCTGCAATTTTCAGGAATTTTTGCGATTTTTGCAATTTTCAGGAATTTTTTGCAATTTTCAGGAATTTTTGCAATTCTTGCTATTTCTGCAATTTTCAGGATTTTTTGCGATTTTTGCAATTTTCTGTAATTTTTGCGAATTTTGCAATTTTCAGGAATTCTTGCAATTCTTGCTATTTCTGCAATTTTCAGGCATTTTTGCGATATTTTCAATCTTCAGGAATTTTTGCAATTATAAGGCATTTTTGCAAATTTTGCAATTTTCAGGAATTTTTGCAAATTTCGCAGTTTTCAGGAATTTTTGCGATTTTTGCAATTTTCAGGAATTTTTGCAATTTTTGCAATTATCAGGCATTTTTGCAAATTTTGCAATTTTCAGGAATTTTTGCAAATTTCGCAATTTTCAAGAATTTTTGCAATTTCCAGGAATTTTTGCAAATTTTGCAATTTTCAGGAATTTTTGCGATTTTTGCATTTTTCAGGAATTTTTTGCAATTTTCAGGAATTTTTGCAATTCTTGCTATTTCTGCAATTTTCAGGAATTTTTGCGATTTTTGCAATTTTCTGTAATTTTCAGGCATTTTTGCGATATTTTCAATTTTCAGGAATTTTTGCAATTATCAGGCATTTTTGCAAATTTCGCAATTTTCAGGAATTTTTGCGATTTCTGCAATTTTCAGGAATTTTTGCAATTTTCAGGAAGTTTTGCAATTTTTGCTATTCCTGCAATTTTCGGGAATTTTTGCGATTTTTAATTTTCAGGAATTTTTGCAAATTTTGCAATTTTCAGGAATTTTTGCGATTTTTGCAATTTTCAGGAATTTTTGCAATTTTTGCTATTTCTGCAATTTTCAGGCATTTTTGCGATTTTTTCAATTTTCAGGAATTTTTGCAATTTTCAGGCATTTTTGCGATTCTTGCAATTTTCAAGCATTTTTGCAATCTGCAATTTTCAGGAATTTCTGCGATTTTTGCAATTTTCGAGAATTTTCAGGAATTTTTGCAATTTTCAGGAATTTTTGCGATTTTTGCAATTTTCAGGAATTTTTGCAATTTTCGCTATTTCTGCAATTTTCAGGCATTTTAGCGATATTTTCAATTTTCAGGAATTTTTGCAATTTTCAGGCATTTCTGCAAATTTTGCAATTTTCAGGAATTTTTGCAAATTTCGCAATTTTCAGGAAGTTTTGCAGTTTTTGCTATTTCTGCAATTTTCGGGAATTTTTGCAATTTTTAGGAATTTTTGCAAATTTTGCAATTTCCAGGAATTTTTGCGATTTTTGCAATTTTCAGGAATTTTTGCTATTTCTGCAATTTTCAGGCATTTTTGCGATTTTTTCAATTTTCAGGAATTTTTGCAATTTTCAGGCATTTGCAATTTTTGCAATTTTCAAGCATTTTTGCAATCTTCGCAATTTTCAGGAATTTCTGCGATTTTTGCAATTTTCGAGAATTTTCAGGAATTTTTGCAATTTTCAGGAATTTTTGCTATTAGTGCAATTTTCAGGCATTTTTGCGATTTTTTCAATTTTCAGGAATTTGTGCAATTTTCAGTCATTTTTGCGATTTTTTGCCCATAAACTACGTACCTAGCTCACTCGACTGTCTTGATTTCTCACAAAGAAGAAATATGTTGGCAAAGTTTTAACTTTCTTTTGTTTTTGTTTTTTCAGTCCCTATTAACAGTCAAGTGGGCTAGGTACGTAGTTTGTGTGGAAAAACCATCAAGACAGTCGAGTGGGCTAAGTACGTAGTTTTTGGGAAAAATCTCCAGTTCTCTGAACTTTCATAGCGTCGTATACACATCTTTGGTGCCCAATGATAGTTTCAATATAAAAATATGCTCATGATATGGTGCCATGGCCTCTACTTCCATCTTACATGAGCAATGATAAAATATCATCTGCTTTTATAGCGTCGTATAAATTATCTGACCCCTATACTAATCTAATACCTAATGAAAACTACATCTATACTAACCAGATACCTTTCAAAAACTACGTACCTCACTTGTTATATTCTCCTCCTATTCTAATGGGTTTCATCCTACTATAATTTTTGTCGGTCCCAAAGATTATCGACCCAGGTCAATAGATCTTTGTGAATATTTTATTTACCTTGTCTAACAACGACATGGGGTTTATTGAGCTTCTCCTTGAACTTCTGCAGAATCCCTTCAGTTAGGGGGGCAGCACCAGACCAAACATCCTCCACCGGCGCCAGATGCTCCGTCGTGACAGCCGGATGGGTGGCCAGGAAGAGCAACAGGGACGGCACTGTGCACAGGAAGGTCGGTTTGTACGTTTCGAGTGCCTTTATGTAATCCTCAGGCGAGAATCTCGGTATTGTGATGATGTGGCAGCCGGACCGCAACGAGTTGTTCAGGATGCTGTTGAAGCCGTAGATGTGGAAGAAGGGGAGAGCCGTGAAGATCGTGTATTTCGAACCGTCTGGAAATTGTTTCGTTATTAGCCAGTCGTACGCTATTCAATTTTTTTCAACTTTCACTGAATATTTTGATGTGGAGAACATATGAAAACCAGAATGCTGGCTGATTTTCTTCAGATAAGCGAACAAATGGCTGTCCTCGTTCGAGGACGCTGGGACAGACAGGTTGGAAAAAATCGTAAGAGAATATTCTGATGTAATAAATCAATTTCAGGAAGAGCAGCAGGTTTGTACGTTTCGAGCGCCTTGATGTAGTCCTCATCAGGAGATTCTCGGGATTGTGATGGTGTGGCAGCCTGACCGCAGCGAGTTCGATCGATGCCCGGATAATTTTTTTCACTTTCACTTCATATTTTGATGTGGAAAACATATAAATACCAGAATGCTGGCGGACTCTCTTCAGGTAATCGAAAAAGCTGCCGTTTTCTTTCGAGTACGCTGGGCATACCGGTTAAAGAATTAGGTAGTATAATATTTTGATGATAATAATATTCAAAGAATTTGAACGCAGTGATATTTTGGGACAAATCATCTGATTTGTCCTTACTACACGTATATTGAAATAATAATCATATATTTATTTTATAGAAACGAGGAGAGAAAATCCCAAAAACTGTTCATTACTATTTATTTGTTGCTATCAGGTACCTAAGTTTCGTGTTTTGTTAGTTAATCAGTGTCGGTATTGTTTTTGGCCTCTTCACAAAAAAAATCAAAAGAAATATTCCTTCAATCGGAACTTCTTCTAGATGACAAATCCATAGCCCACTATCAAAAGTCAATGTTTATTCATACATTATATATATATATATTGGTGCGCCAATGGATTCTGCGTGAAATTCTCTATGGGAGAAGATGTAAACTTGATATTTTCGCTGAGAAACTTCGTAAATATAGAGAGGGTTCAAAAAGTATAAATTTTTGAAATCGCCCTGTATCTCATAAACGGAATCAGTTATACGAAATATGATTAGGCCATGTTGAGTTTCACGAAAAAGTGGTATAGGACCGCAAAAACCGGAATGTTCTATCTCCAAAGATAACTGAGATATCACGTAGAAGCCACGATAACTGGACACACTGTACCGTTTTTTTTTCGAATATTACCAGATATACTCTGGATTTCGAAACTCTTCAGACAGTATTATGTTTATTTGGGTTCATTCGCAACTTTACCCAAAAAAATATTATATTACAAATGGCGAGGAGTAGCCGAGTAGTAACTTGTGTGAAATGTGAAATAACTGACCTTCTGTCCGCGTCTTCAAGACCTCAGGATGGCTCTGCTGTACCAAATTGGATATCAAATTGAAATGCGACAACATAACGCCTTTTGGAAGTCCAGTGGTGCCGCTGGAATATGGAAGAATCGTTACTTCTCTAGGATTTATACCGGGAAGCTCACTTTCATGTCCAGCTACAAAAACAAAACATACACATTCATAATTATGCCTTCTATGTTATGTCAACCCATTTTCATCCTTTTGACTTACCCGTCAATAAACTTTGAAGACCATGTACATTTTTGGAGATGTCGTCATCTCCTCCAATACAAATAGTTGATCTATAATTCTGTAGTTCAGGAGCTATAGTTGTAGCTACTTCTAACAGTATAGGAACAGTAATTATCATTTTCACCCCAGCACTTTGAAATTGTCTCTTAATTTCATCTAAAACAAGAATAGTAGATTGTTTTATTAGGATCAAAAGTGACACTTTGTTTGACAAGCGAATTTTGCTTTTGCGAGGCGGAGCGTTAATAATTTATTATTGTTGGACAATTTTCTTTTTCTACGACTATAACACAAGATTGCTGTCGTTTTACTGTGTTCGATACATCAATGAGGTACTTTGTTTGTCATCAATTTTATTTCCGTATCTGATATCACAATGACTCCATTGTGTTATTATTTCAAAAAAATCTCATCGCTCATGGAATGTCAAATTGCAAGCAATGCCAGCTCTGTCTAATAGATGAGCATTACTTGACAGGAAATCAGATGGCTACAAGCCGAAGAAATCGAAAATTTATCTGTTGCAGCCGTAGAAAAATTATAGTGCATAACTTGCACTGGATGCTAATTTCCTACTCGAAGGAAATCACTATCATTCCGTGCTTGTTAAACAATATACTATTCTTTGATAAGGTAAGGGTACATACCTGGAGTGTACAGAGGGTTGACGAAAGTAACAACTAATCCAGCTTCGATAGCACCATGGCATACTATAACAAATTCAGGTATATTGGGTAGCAACAGTCCTACGACCTCTCTAGGTTGGAGGCCGCAATGCCCTAGTAGGGCTTGAGCACATCTATTCACTAACATTCTCATCATACCGTGGGTATAGCTCCTGCCTGTCACAGCGCATGTCTACAAAACAAAAAAAAACAGTTGCCACTGTAAATTAGCATTAATATACAGTTCTGTTGCAACTGTGAATTTCAGGGCTAATTTACAGTTACAATTGTGAATTAGGTTGATGAAACTTAGTTCCTACACATCTCCTGAATTACAGTTGCAACTGTAAATTATGCTGATACAATTTTTTTACACATCTTCTTATTTACAGTTGCAACCACTGAACTATAACCCTATGTTGCAGTGGTTGCAACTGTGAATTATTATGTATCCGGGGTGTTTCCGAAATTGAAACTATAAATGGAGTGTGTAATAAAAGACGAAAGAACGAAACGAAATCGACGTACGTTTTTGCTAAAAAATACCTTGGATGATATCAAAGAGGTTTGCCTAGAATTTTTGTTAAACATTTGATTATTAGCTGTTGCAACTGTAAATTAGGAAACGTGTAAAAATAGGCCCATTCAACTAATTTACAGTTGGAACTGTAAATTGTAAATTAGGCAAAGATACGTGAAAAAAAGTGTTTTTAGGATAGAAGTTCATCGCCGTCGTAACTTGCACGTCCACCAAAATACACTCACTGGCAAAAAAACGGCCAGCAAACAAATATGTCAAATTGATCGCCTGTAACTATTTTATTCATGTCCGATTTTGGGGAAATTTCGACCAAATGAGGCAAGAAAAAAGTTACTCTTTCACCCAACTTCTTAACGCTCTATGTGGCAAAGGTGAGGCGTTAAATTTACTTCCCTTTTCGTCCCTTCTTAACATGATGGTTCTTTATTCTTGCCAATATCATCTTTTAAGATAAGATTAATAGTGTTTGAGAGAGTATGGAATTTTTTAATTTTCATCACGATTTATTGATTCTGAGATATTGCCGATTTTTGTTTTAATCAGTTCCATCCATAGACCAGAAACTCGTAATAATCTGCATGAGAGTTTTTTCGATATAATAAATTATACCATGTGGATATTATGTTATTGTTGAATTACGCTTCTTTTTATTGTTTAGGTATAACATTTTTGTGATAGGTTCGACAAATGTGCTTAGCATAATGTCCGATACGACATTTTGAGCTTGGTAAATGTCAGATACGACATCTGAGCTTGGTAAAGTGTTGAAACATTGCAGGTACGACAAATTTAAATCATGATTTAAGCCCATATTTTTGCCGCCACGACTTGGAAACCTTCCCAAAAGATGCATGAGTGCATATGAGTGTCTCTATAGAAACGACGAATATAATTATCTCAATTTCGACGAAAATATCAGATACGACCTTTTTGCTTAGCACGGCAGAACAATAATCTAGAACATATATTTGGGATGAACTCCAGACGCTAAATAGCCCTTGTCCGGCCTTGTCCGACACTCTTCAAAAGCTACAATTCACCCTTCAAGAAGAATTTGGGGCTATTCCTCAAGTTGATGACTAGATTCTAGCCATAGCACCATAGCGAGGTAATATTGCGCCTCGCTAGCTGCTCGCTGGGCGCGACAAACTGAAAATTTCCGGCCAATCCTGAGAAGAAACATAATTGAAATAGCGAACCACTATCGGCCTTACCAATAAATCCCTCCATAGTATTTTTTCGATTAATTACTTCGAAAAAAAAAAAAAAGATTAGCTGGATAGGGATCGAACCCCGGTCTTTTCGCTCGGAGGAAGAAACACTATACTCTAATAACCACCACGCTTCTGGCGAAAACTACAAAACAATTTTATACGCTCTTGACTTGCCACCGTGGTAATATTTCCCGTATAGTGTTGCTATGGCTAGGCTCTAACAACCCGATGCAACGGCGTTGAATGCTGTAATTCAAACTCGAGGAGGGCATAATTCTTAGGTAGATATTTATTTCATCTCGGAGGTCTGCTTTTCGTTTTTTTTATCGCTTGGAGCGCACGAAAGGAAATCCCTACAATGTTCGAAGAACATCGTGCGTTCCTAGGGTGGATAGGAACAGGAGGTAGGTATTGGAATTTTTTTTGAACTTCTGGAGATTATATGTTGTTGGGAATACTTCCTCAGGCAATGAATTCCAGAGCCTAGCCGTTCTAAGGATGAAGGAGTTTTGATAAAGTGCTGTTCGACATCTTTCGAGGTTCACTACGGAAAGATGTGGTGACTGGGATTGTCTAGTTCGTCTGACTGGTATTGCTGGTAAAGGGATGAAAGCAGAGATTTCCGAAGAACATTTCCCGTGGGAGTATCGATAGAAAAGTGAAAGGTCGCCGACCTTTCTACGGTGTTTCAATGATGTCAAAGAGTGAGCGAGTGTGGCGTCACCCACCAGTCGAATAGCTCTTCTCTGGATGGAATCTAAGAGCGCTTTGTAGATCATGAGAAGCTGTTGAGGTGTAAAGTAGCTTTTCGCACGGAACAAGAATCCGAGTTTTTGTGAAGCAGCTTTTGCGATGGATCTGACATGATTATCCCATGAAAGAGTGTTGCTGATGGAAATACCGAGCATAGATATGGTGGGATTGGTGGGGATAGTGGTGCCAGACATTACAATATCGGGCATACTGAGTTCCGCCTTTCTAGAGAAAATACAGGCTTGAGTATTGGTGGCGTTGAATTCAACTAGGTTGTTGGTTCCCCAGGCTGTGATTTCGGCAAGGTCTTCATTGACAGCATTGACCTGCCTGCGCCGTGAGTTCTTAGTTTCTTGGGAAGAAATTGGAATTCTGGAAGAGAACGCAGTATGGAGGGTACTATCATCTGCAAAGCTGTGGATGGGGCAAGTTGTTACTCCCAACAGATCATTGATATGAAGAAGGAATAATGGTGAATGCTCAAAAAACAGGATAGAAAGACGTGATATCAATTTTCCGATGTTTTTTCGAGTTGTTAATCGATAAGTTCATATATAGGTTCTTTAAAAAAGCCATACTTTCTTAATACACTTGTATCTTCTCTTATAAATAGATATTGACGTGAATGAAAAACCAATGTGTTAAGAAAGGACCAGACTTCAATCCAAAACATGATGATCACCTTTGCCACGCAGTGAAACGTGAAATAGTAACATTTGTTGTGCCCTGTATAATGTTCAACCCATCACGTTTTTTTGGGAACAAAAATTCATGTTATCAGTTAGAAACATAAATCTAATATTTGGTCGGAATTTCACCAAAATCGGACAAGAATTAATAAAGTTACAGGACGATCAATATTGCACTTTTTTGCAGTTTTTTTGTCGGTGAGTGTATTTGAATTTTTTTTCAAGTATTACCTATATACCGGGTATCCGGTATCATAATCTGTCTGACGGCCATCAATCGTTATCATTAATAGTGAACTAAACAATTTGACATACATTATGCATGGTCGTTATTAGTTAAATCAATTCTCAGGTCATTAGGAGTTATGTTATTGTACGTTCCTAACAAGATGCCATTTTTCGATATGCTAATGAGCCACCTTTGTTCGTTTGAAAAAATCGAGTAAACATCATAATTACGATTTTGTAAACGTTGAATAAACCTGTAAAAATAGTTATTTATTATACAAGGGAAAAAAGTAGTAGATTTTAGCTCCAGGTTGTGTTGTCTCCCGACGCGTAGCGGAGGGAGACAAAAAACCGTGAGCTAAAATCTAATATTTTTCCCGTGTATAATACACTATTTTTTTCTGTGACAGAAGGAAGGACGAATCAATATTGAGAAGATATTACATAATTTCGAAATCTGAAAATTATCGACGTGCATTTCAAGTTTTTAACAGTAGGGACACCTGCGTTTTATAGACATCTTTATCATTCTTTTGAAGTAATCAAATATCTGATGTCACTTCTGTCAGTTCAATTCTGTGATTTTATTTTGAAAAATTGCGAATTCAGTAGTTGTTCAGTAATATACGAAACCGCGAAGTCGAATGGAAGATAAAAGGACTTGCAGTTCTTTCTCGGAGACGGTATTATTGACTCATTTTTCGGAACTATATCACAACAAAAGCCATTAACAGAGTATATATATGTGATATATATCCGGGAAAGAAGTACTCACTTTTTTCCCACGGGAAAAAAGTAATTTATGAAAAGTGACATTTTATAACCTGCCAACAGAGATGAAATGCCAAACTTTTTTCCCGTCACAGAAAAAAAAATATAAGTAAAACTTCATCTAAACTGTTTTCCCTAAAATATTGGCCCTCATTACCATGGAGTCCTATTAGTAGAAGATCCGAAACTAAGTCGACCTTCACCGAGCTGATAATAGAACGAAATATATTTTATCATGAATTTAGTATATTAGAAAACATATTAAAAATGGGTTGCCTAAAAAAATCCTGGGCAGACTATTTTTAATTATTTTTCGAAAAATTATTTTTAATTAAATGTTGCAACATCAGGATAATAAAAAAATTGTGTCCTGACTGAAAGTATGAAACGTATAGAATGTGCAGCCGTTGGGGTGTCTACTATTTACCTGGGCGAACTACTGGGTTGTCAGGTAAACACAGGTATATCGATGCCAGTTACTTTCACTGGATTGGATAATTTAAAAAAATGTATATCATCATAAGCGCTGTTTAATTGCGAACACGTTGATATAGGGTTGTCTGCGAAAATTCCGGTCCGATTAGGGGTTTTTAATTTCAACGCGCGTGGAAGTGTGTGACAGAGAGATCCGAGGTAAGTATACTGTGTGATAATAAAGGACCCAACATCGCAGTCGCTTGTGATGGGACCCTGAATAGTAGAAAGTGTGCGAAGTCAAATCCTGAAAACTATGGTTGGCATTTTGATGATTTCTTAAAACCAACAGGTTTTATCGGAGATCAAACTCCTTTGAAAATCCAGGACATTGTCGAAATGGAAGCAAATGAGGAAGAATCTAATGAATCAGACGAATTCGAGAGTCAAAATGATACTTCTGATGAATCAGATATTGAATAGAAAATATTTATTAGAATTTATTTTTTTGTATTTATACTGTTTTTTAATAAAATTTCAAATCGTAATACAAGATGTCTAGTCTATCTTTTTTGTTATTTCTTAATTTAAATTTTTGGCGGTCCACTTTGTTTCTATTTCCAGAAAGAGCAAAAAAATTTCAAAGTAAGTATTTGATATTTTTATTGTTTATTATAGATTATAGATATATCATTATGGTTATAACGCAATATACTGATATTATATTGTTTTTATATATTAGTATTATATTAAATATATTTAATTATTATGTAATTAATTAATAATTTTTTTTTGCTACTGAAATATCAGTTGCTCCAAAATAACACGCACTGTTTACTATATGAAGGGTAGTAGAGGTACCTCTACCCTCCATAGTTTACACACCGAGCATGCGCACTTTCTACTATTCAGGGTCCCATCACAAGCGACTGCGATGTTGGGTCCTTTATTATCACACAGTATACTTACCTCGGATCTCTCTGTCACACACTTCCACGCGCGTTGAAATTAAAAACCCCTAATCGGACCGGAATTTTCGCAGACAACCCTATATCAACGTGTTCGCAATTAAACAGCGCTTATGATGATATACATTTTTTTAAATTATCCAATCCAGTGAAAGTAACTGGCATCGATATACCTGTGTTTACCTGACAACCCAGTAGTTCGCCCAGGTAAATAGTAGACACCCCAACGGCTGCACATTCTATACGTTTCATACTTTCAGTCAGGACACAATTTTTTTATTATCCTGATGTTGCAACATTTAATTAAAAATAATTTTTCGAAAAATAATTAAAAATAGTCTGCCCAGGATTTTTTTAGGCAACCCATTTTTAATATGTTTTCTAATATACTAAATTCATGATAAAATATATTTCGTTCTATTATCAGCTCGGTGAAGGTCGACTTAGGTTCGGATCTTAGACTATATAATTTCATTGCCTATACCTATAACTAAATAGTAGATAGGTATTATCAACGTTTTTTTTACTTACGGCTGCTGGTTCGTCCGACCAATTTTCCGATTCCTTAAAACAAAATTCCACCAAATTTTCGTTAGGAATTTCGTCAACTGGTCCCAATGGGGATTTCACAATACCTCCTCCCAAATGTCGGACGCTTCTCTTCAGTTTTTCGTTGCCTCTCAGAAAATGTCTTTTCCTCACTGGCACCATTGTATTGGTATTATATTGTCTATTCGAGTCATTTGTGAGAGCATTCGGCAACAGGGATAAAATTCCATTTTGGTATGTTTGTGCCAAAACTGCAGTTTTTTGTCTTAGATTTATCATTGACATTTTTTTTCCAAGTTATTAAGTAGGATATCACAGGATCAGGAAGACCTAAAAAAATTAGCTCTGTTGTCATGTTATTACCATACCCCTTCAGATTGATGGACACAAGAGGAAGAGGATATGATTGAGGGAAATGTGTCCCACTTTTAGAAAATATCAATTTCCACACTCCATGCATGAGTACTATAGACATGAAATGACATTCTATTGTGAAAATAGTAGAACAAATATTAATCTTAGGGCACCCGTGAAAACAATGTGTAATAATTTCAATGTATCTATCTAACAAGTTTTTTATATAGGGTGTGCTGAAATTCGCCACCAACTTCCTCATTTCGAATCTATTTATTTTTTCAATCAAGTTAAATGTCTATGCTTTCGGGTGTATGATAAATTGACATTCATCATACAGGGCGTGGAAAGAAGTTCTGAATTGAGACTCTATCAAGAATCTGCGATTATGGTCTATAAAAATCACAAGTTTCCATCGTTCAAGTTTGAACCCCCTGATTGGGTATGAAAGTGTTGAAAAGGAATATTCTCAGAGCAATACATTGAGAATTCGCATTCTCTATGTGATGAGAATATCAACTCTTTTTCAGTTTATTCAATAGAAAACAACTACTTTCCTGGCTATATGCCACGACGAACATTGAATTATATCTATTGAACACACACGATAAGAGTTTGAAAATAAAATATAAAATCTTCTGAAATTGATAATTTGCATTATCCTTCAGACAAAAATATGTATATGCACACATCATTCTGAATATTCAACAGAAAACAACTACTTTCCTGGCTATTTGCCACGTCGAACATTTAGGTATGATGAATGTCAATTTATCATACACCCAAAAGCAAAAACGTCCAGATGACAGGAATAGAATGTCAACAAATTTCTCAGATGTCATTTTGTTATAGTTTTACTCGGTTCAAGTTGTATCATAGAGAGATGAAAATTGTGTATATCATGAAGAATGATGGCTGTAAGAATAAGTGGACATCATGGTTACTGATGAGGATTTAGAAATCCGAAATGGTTTCATTGCAATAAAGTCATATAACCTGTGTGTGAGAGATAATATTTCCCATATCACTGATATGAATGATTATTTTTGGAAGTTTTCAAGCTCATATCAAGATCAGAGTTTATGCCAGTATACTTCATCTATACATTCCAATTTTTATTTCAATGCTGAATATATTGGTAAGTTATATTTCTTCATCATTATACATCATATTATCCTTCCGATTTGAAAAAGAATGTAAATTCTCAATTTCGGAGGGTTTTATTTTTTATTTTTCATGTTCGACGTGGCAAATAGCCAGGAAAGTAGTTGTTTTCTGTTGAATATTGAGAATGATGTGTGCATATACATATTTTTGTCTGAAGGAGAATGCAAATTCTCAATTTCAGAAGATTTTATATATTTTCAAACTCTTTTATCGTGTGTGTTCAATAGATATAATTCAATGTTCGTCGTGGCATATAGCCAGGAAAGTAGTTGTTTTCTATTGAATAAACTGAAGAAGACTTGATATTCTCATCACATAGAGAATGCGAATTCTCAATGTATTGCTTTATATAAATATATTTCCATTTTTGTATGTTCATAATTTATCTGAGAATATTCCGTTTAAATGTCTATACTCAATACACAGATTACTGTAGTTTGAATAGTATTATAGCAATTTTATTCTGGTTATGAATTGTCAATTCTGTTATATATTTTGGTTTAGAATCTTCGAGAAAATCTTCATAACCAAAAACAGTCATGAATTTTGTTATATTTTAATTCGAAGTTCCACAATTTTCAATCACTCATCACCATAAGAGAAAATAAGTCCTCCAATATATGTTTTCAATAAACCATGAATGAGGTTGAGGAAACACAACAAATGTTGCAGAAAATGTCTTGTAATAATAATTAATTCTTTCTTTTTTTGATAAGTTACTCTTTAATAACACCTTTTTTTGGCATTATTCTCAAATAGCGAAGTGAAAAAGACAACATTTCAAATGGTGCCCACCAGTTTTTTACCCATATATACAGGGTGTTTCATAATTGAATGCTGATCCTGAAGGGTGATAATCCTTGGATGATTTTGAGAAAAATTCTTCATTTGAACATAGGCCCGTAACAGCTTCGTTTCTGAGATACAGGATGTTGAAATTTAACATAAAAATCAGTTATTCCCCAATATCTCTGAAACCGCTCTGGCTTTTATCTTCATTACAAATACTTGAAAATAGTTACCATAAAATTATAAAAATATTGCTCAGATCTTTTGGTTACCACAATTGTGAAATTATGACTAAGAGTAAAAATCGAATAGGGACAAGCAAATGAATGCATTTTATTTTCTAACTCAAAAACCGTTCGCCGGACGAAAAAAAGACAAGAGACCATTTTTATGAGAAGATAGAGGATAATTACAAAAATAATATTCATTTGGAAAAAAGACAGTGGCGTATCATTATTTTGATGAAAAATATGACAGGGTATGTTAACAGGGACGCCACTGATGGAATTTAAGAAATCCTTCACTACGGAAAAAATGTATTTCTATTCATACTCGGCATGTACCAAAATTGAAAAAAAAAAAGCCAGAGCGGTTCCAGAGATATTGGGGAATAACTGATTTTTTTGTTAAATTTCAACATCCTGTATCTCAGAAACGAAGCTGTTACGGACCTATGTTCACATGAAGAATTCTTCTTAAAATCATCCAAAGATTATCGCCCTTTAGGATCAGCATTCAATTATGAAACACCCTGTATATGGAATCAAATTAATTGGAGAAAAGAGGGTCAAAATATAAAGAAAAGGTCGCCATAGAGAATCGAAATAACAAAGAGAATTCAGATTGTTGCACATTCCTATTTTTTGTATCCACTAAAATTGGTAATTTGAGTGTCAAAAATATGTACATAGGATAGGTACATAAATTAATTACTCGATAAACTTTTGTTATCAATAAACCGCTCCAAACATTATTTTTTATAGGCATAAATGTTTGTTTGCACAAGATATTAAATGAATATATCGAATTTGCGTACAATAATAATGATTGCATTCATGAATGAGGATAAAAACAATCATGATTAAAGCAATTCATTTTGTTTTTTATTTACTTCCTTAATTTGCCGGCAGACGGTTAAATATTGGAAAGCCATAATAATTTCACAAATAATAATGAACAATACCTACTTATACCTACCCAAAGTTTAGTTCCTTATTGAAATATTATGGGCTCGAGTTCTGATATTGTTGAAATATAAGAAGATAAGATGGAAAGTAATACATTCTCGATTAATAATAAAGATGGTAGGTATGTACAGTACGATGTAAATAACACCCTCGATATAACAGAAATAGATATAGCGAAATAATTTATTCCATACTTTTGCATCATACTGTATATATATGCATGTAAATATAAACATAATAGTTATTTGGAGGAAATCAATGGTTTGTTCAGTCATCATAATGTTCTTCTGTTCCTCTTTATATTCTGTTGAACTTTGAACTGTTGTTTTAATGAAAACAATAAGGGGTACCTCACTTCAATAAGTAGGAACCTACATCCTACATTAACACATTATAGGTATCATTCATGATACACCATGTAGTGCTTTCCACGGACTATTATCTGTATACTATTATTCTGTCTGAACAGCGTTTTTTTTTACTAGAATACATCGGCAATAAAAAATACATTAATACATTTTTCATAGTTTTGTACTCCATAAATGTACTTCGTACAAAACTATTTGAATAATTCAGATTGCTCTTCCTTAGGTAACTCGATTAATCTTTAAATTAATCTTCATAGTCTTGTACTCGATAATTACAACACCCTGTACATCTTGTTTTACTAGCATCACTGGAAGTTTCCGCCTGAGCATTTCTATACCCAAATAGCTTCAGCCACAGTTTAACAAAGGTTTGTTAATCTGTGCTTCAGGTTCGCAAGTGTTGTAATTATCTTCGTACAAAACTATTCGAATAATTCAGGTTGATTTTCCTAAGGTAAGTCGATTAATCTTTAAATTATCAAAGTTTTGGCCTGAGGGGTTTTGGTGGGGACTATTGTGTGGGTTTAAAACAAATACTTATTGCAATATTGGCAATGGCAATGTTTGCAAAAGGTACCATAAGTGAAAATTAATATTTCGTAGCAGAGCGCTCTCGACTAACAGTCATCATAAGTGCGAACTCGTCAGGTTGGCAAGAAAATCATCAACTAAGGCACAAACATATTCAAATTTGTTTTCCAAAATGGGATAATATGCAGATTACAAAAAAGTAAAGCACAGCTTTTCTGATGTCTAGGCAGAAAAAGTTTGTTGCTATGCAACGTTCCAAGACATTTGGTAATCAAAATTGACGATGATATTGGCTGAGCACAATATGATGGATATACTTGGACTTTGCGTGAAAATTGCTCGAATTGTTTTTGTTGGACTAAGCAATTTTTAGTTGAATCAAACAGATACATGATTATTTCATGGAAGCAGCTTGTTCAAATCAAGAATGTAGTCTAATTAAATTAACAGTATAATATCAATTCCATCAACGAAATATATGGTTATCTCAAAAACAAATTATGTCGTTCCAAAATAATGTCGATGTTGATTCAACTATAGAAATTTTGTTGATTTGATCAAATAATAATCATTTTGATGAGAATATATCTTTGAAACAACATACAAGTATTCTTATTCCGATGTAGCAATGAACTCGTTTCGAACGGATCGTTTGCTTGAATTGAGCAACGAAATATGTAATGTCAATGAAATATTTCGTTCATTCTACATCAAGTTGAATTTTCGCCTCTAGATGCTGGCGATCATTTCGCCTCGTCTATGCTAGAGTCCATGTATATACTTTAGACAAGAGTCCGGACACAAAACTGACAGCCGTTGGGGTTTTTAATATTTTGTTTCATTTGGTTTGCCCACCTGACAATGTGACGAAACACCATAGTCATTCCGC